CCCATTGCAGCATCATGCTTCAACACAGTTTCAAACATTTGTCATTTTCTCCATTCCATGGCTTTATTTAGTGCTTTCTCAGCCTCTTCTCACTCCATTCATACTTCATCATCTAGTTCATTTATTTCTGCTTCTAAATTTTTAATTTCCAATTCTTTTTCACCCAACCTCTCTTCATAATCTCTCTTTTGTTGATTCAATTGATTATTTAAATTGCTTATTCTAGAATAGCTTCCAGCATAACTACAACCTAATTCATTTGAACTATCAATAAATTCTTCTAACATTTCTTTGATAGTGATATTATCAAATCAAACTCTTTTGTAGTTTTTAGCTCATTCTCTAGTTTCATTAGGGTCTACTGCCATTCTTAATTTACCTTCATCCATTCATTTTTGGTTTAGTTTTTTGTATCATCATGTTCCCTTAGGGGCATACATACTAACTTCACCATTTCCCTCAATAGACTGGCCAGTAACATGTCAGATTTTTAATTTAAGTTCTTCTATTGATTGTTCTCTTTCTTGATCTTTATCAGCTAACTGCTTTTCTAAATCAGCAACTTTGTTTAATAGTTCTTTATTTGCTTGTTGCTGTTCATTTATTATGTTTTTCATGATTTACTTGCTTGTTCCTTTTTTATATTTATTTATTTAATATACTTATTATTTTAGTACTTTTTTGCTTTAATTGTTACAATTTTGAAATATTGAAATAACTTTTCAATATTGAATGGAAATTTCAATTTTGAAATATTAGAATTACTAATTAATTGAATTGTATATAAGGAGCTTGAATTCAATGTACTTGTAAAGTAACTTTCTAACAAGTTAATTAGTTTCGACTAAGAAAAACTAAATAAATAAAATAATAAATATTTTATTTAAAACTTTTATCTTCTTTACCCAAAATTATTCACTATCAACAAAATCAATTCGTTGCTCCCTATTCATTCTGATCCACACAAAACAAAAATAATTGTTACCACCAATTAAAAATACGCTCTCACAAAATTTAATTGGTGACACATGTTTACAAAACATTTTTGAATTGCTTTGGTTTAGTTTTATATTGTTTTAATAATATGTTGAGTTAATAAGGCATTTTCTCACGTTTAACTTGTGGTTTGTACTACTGGTCCCAAACAGTCCGGGACATTTAAGAAAATGAGTGGACACATCTGCATGACAAATTGTTATGCAGACATTTTTGGACAGTGTCCATGTCCACTCAATATTAGGCAGACATGTCTCATGTACAACACTGCTCTAGTTTATTAAAAAGAATGGTGGTGGCAGTTATTAAGCTGTCATTCTAGTTTGATTAATAATATTAATAGCATATTATTTTAATTGTTATTTTTTAAAAAATTAAAAAGTGCCTCACCAGAAAAGATATACATGAGTAAGTATTGTTAGAATAATTATTTTAAGCTATCCACATGTAAACTAAGCTTTATTTTATATTTGTATGGATTAGGACATTGTCATTTCAAAACAAAGAAAATGTTGATGATTATGATAATAATAGATTCAATAATAAATTAATTTTTAATATTTGATGATTAATATTAAAAATTAATTTTTTATTTCTTTGCACAAACAATCATTCTCTTTAGCAATTGAAAAGAAAGATAGAGGAACTAGAGAGAAAAGTTATGATGCTGACAAAAAAATTAAAAGAATCAGAAAAATCTGCAGGTAAAGATCTTACCTTAGAAGGCAAATGTTTGGGTTATACATTGAAGTCTGTACACATGATTTTTTATTTATTCATCTGAGTGTTCATTTTGTATATCGTTGTGTGCTAACTTGATTTTTTTCCCTTCCTTAATCTTGATAATTCTTTTTCCATTCCGTTTTGATTCTCTCAAAAGGTAAAATTGCAGTGTATTCTATTATTCATAATTTCAATTAGTCATTTGGTCATAATTATCTTTGACATTTACCTATATAATAGTATCTTGAAATTTATCATCACATGAATGAAATGTCATTTTATGAAATGCATGTCTTTTAAGTTCATATTATTGTATTATTTTTGAACTAATTTTTATCATTCATTTCCAATCTATAATAGGTAAATCGGAAGACCTCTCAACTCCAAGTAAATAATTAGTCAATGGTTTTATTTACAATTCTATATCTTTTAATACCCTAATCTTTTTTATGATGAAGATTTAAATAGGTATTTGGAACAGCTCAAAAGGATGAGCACTCCTTCATCATTTGCACAACCTACTGTGTGGGCAATTGAGCAAATGGAAAATCCATTAATTCTTAACCACCGTCCCTTTTCAGCATTTGGGCTTCCTGTCACCCTCTGTTATGATGGTTTTGCAAAATTTCAGGAAGACCTAATTTCAATTAACATATCACAAGAAGATACACAATTTGTTTTAGAATTTGTGCAGTCTATGTCAGAAACATTCAAAAATGAAGAAAAACGTAAAAAGAAACATCATAATATGTTGGGTAAATATCTTGGTACTGTGTTTCAGGAAGTAGGCTTTTGAGAATCAAGTACTACAGATCAGGGTTGGCAAATTGACTGGTCCATTGAGAAAGATGGATTTTGGACTGGTCCATTGCAATTAATAAAATACTAAATATGGTCAAAGTGTTACATTAATGGACCCAATGGACCACCAATAGACCATCAATGGACTGCACATTTGCCAACCCTGCTACAGATGGTAGTATTATTATCTCAAGTGAAAACTCTATTGCTATAATCATGATAATTGAAATTAAGCCAGAATTGGGTCTTGGTGCTGGATGTCCATATGTGCAGGCATCTTCATATTATGCAGATTTTATTCTGCATCATGGAAAAAATTCAGCTGTGAAAGTCATAAATCAAAGTTGCTGTCCTACCTTTTTACTCCATATTACAGGTGATATTCTTTGATAACAACAGAGTATATTCCTCTATTTTCATACTATATCAATCAATTAATTCTATTCTATCTGGGATCATTTTATTAGGTCCATATTTGGGCATTGCTGGTGCTGTTTTTACAAACAAGGTTACATGTGATCCACTTGTAGGGATGGGGCGGTTCTTAGAGCCGCTCTCCATTACACAAAAATCAAAATGTTTCACAGAAAAAAAATACAAAACTTCGGCGACGAATAGACATTTTGATATAAGAAGGTGACGAATAACACATTTTTTTGGTGTGACAATTAAACTTGGCATATTAATATATATACACATTAAAAATGATGTATTTTTTTTAAAACAGAATTTTCCAAAAAGCATTTGTCATTTAATAGCGAGTCCACTACTTTTAAAGGAAATTGTATCACATAAATTTAGCAAAATAAATATATAGTAATAGTAATAGTAATGCGTTACAAAAAAATTTTAATTGAATTTAACAATGTGTCGCGAAAATAAAATAATTGAATTTAGCAATGTGTCGCGAAGATAAAGTAATCGAATTTAGCAATGTGTCGCGAAAATAAAGTAATTGAATTTAGCAATGTGTCGCGGAAATAAAATAATTGAATTTAGCAATGTGCCACAAAAATAAAGTAATTGCCAACTATTTATATATAAAAAGAATCAATTATTCATTTTTTTATTATTTTATTATTATATATTTATTAAGAAAAAAATTCACGTGATACATTCGAATATCTTTCCTTAAAAGGAAAAATCATCCAACAGAGCGGCAGCGGAACCTCCCCATCCCTATCCACTTGTCCCTATTCTTCCTCTTCCGTTACTTCCACATGACCATGGAATGATGTTTCAAATCACAAAAATACTACATGCACTGAAAACAAGTATTAAAACTTTAGAGAATTTTATTTTTGCAGCAATAAAGGAATATTGTCCAAAGAAAATGTTACTCCAGAAGATAGATATCAGTTCCACTTTCCATATCTAAGAAGTTTTCAATTAAATAATGGAAATATATCTTCATTCTCATATATTAAACAGATTGATGGTAAATTGGTATTTGTTGTAGAAAGTAAGGGAAATTGTACAATTGTGAAATTTTCTAGGAGATATCCAAAAGATATTCATTTGAAATGTTCTGAATTAGGATTAGCACCAAAGTTGATTGCAATAAATAATTTGGAAGGAGGGTGGAAAATCGTAGCTATGGAATTCCTTGATACATTTTTCAGTATTGACAAACTTCTTCATAATAACCCAAATCAAGCTGATTGCATAAAATCTGCAGTTGAAAAAAACAGTGAATAGATTTCATAATGCAGGATTTGTACATGGAAATATGCATGCAAACAATATTTTTGGATATCTAAACTGTAGCAAAATTCACATTAAGATAGTTGGTCTTAGTTGGGCAGGTTATGAGGGAAAAGCTCGATATTCTTTCTTTCTGAAGAAAGACAAAATTCAAAGGGATGAGGGTGCAACTGATGGGAACTTAATAAAAAAAGAGCATGATATATATTTAATAAATCAGATTTTTACAAAAAAATACTGATTTAGAAAGTAATGTTAATACAAAAGCTTGTCAGGCATTTATTATAATTATCATAATTGTCATTGTCATTTTTATTATTATAGCAAAATTATTATTTTCTATTTCACTGAAAGATCAAGTTTCTAATAAATTTATTAATATGTGATGATGATACATTAATTTCAAAAAAATTTAGTAAAACAAAATTTATTAAAGTTAAATAAAAAATCTGCTAAATGCTCTTAATAAGTTTTTTTATTAGTTGTGATTTTTCTTTCTTGGTGAATTTCATAGGTAATCCTTTCTTTCCTTAGATATGTTTCTAGTGTCTGAGTATCATTTATTTTGAAAACATAAGAAGCAATTTTTTCACCTTGTTCTTTTTTTAAAATACTGTAAATTTGGCAATGTGTCGTTTGCAAATTTACTACTTAATTAGTAATAATCATCCTTGGATAATAACAAGTTCAACTATTACTTAACAACTTACTCTTGAACAATGATCGACCGTTCTATTATACAATAGTCCAATTACAACTCTATTTACTACTCTGTGTCCTATTATTAATAGTTCACTAATTAATCGTTCTATGTATATAGTCCGATTATACTTGAACCACAAATTAAACTGTGAAGCCTGATTATTAACAAAGTCGTAACAAAACTAACCAAACATGTGCTCTTTAGATTACTTCTCCTGTAACCAACACGCAAATAAACAATCTCTTTCAATTGTTATACAACACCTATTGATATCGTAGGACTTTTTCTTAATAAAATATCATATTACAAGCACCTTTAAACTTGTATCACTTGATATCTTTCAATCGAGACTTAAACTGCTGGCCAGTCTCCAACTATAATACTAAAAGTATTATTAAATCCACAAGGCATCCCCTTTGTAATAATATTAATTATTTATTTAATATTAGAATGTATTAAAAAAAAATTATTTAATTAATTTTTAAAATCAATAAAGTTTTTTTGGGGAAAATGAAGAAAAATGTAACAATTTGGGAAATTGTTTTATTAAAATATTATTTCTAATAATAAAAA